TGTACCAAATTTTCTCTTTGTTCACTTCCATTTTTAACACGCTGTAACTCACAGCTGAATGCACCAAACAAAAAACAGCAAAAAAATTTTTTTTACTGCGAAGTGTACAGTATGTAAATGTACAGTATCGGAAATTGTTGGAAGGATACTTTACGAGAAATCTATCAGTGCAGCCATCTACCGAAAAAATAATGGATTTCTTTTTCCCCAAACTAATATTTATAATTAAGTGTTTTATCTTAATATAATCCGATGCGTTTATACTTGCGGTTGACTAAGGCGATAGTTTTGCATCATATGTTGGGCACTCAGGGATGGTGTATTTCTCTTGGTATAACGCATCCTTTATTCGTCCTTCACTAGCTGTTAGTGTAAATTGCTTCACGTATTCCCAAATGCACACGCGCTTGGTTCTTTTTTCGCTAGCTAAATTCAGTTTGTGTTTTAAGTTGGTTTTTTTTTTTTTTTTTTTTTTAATAATTGTCCAAGTGAAAATATTTATTTCACTTTTGTCTTAAATTAAATTTCGAATGTTTATCAAATATTGTGTTTTGGTAATTTATTTGTTAACCTCAAATTGCTAAAATTTCAGCCGTATTTGCGCAAATTTATCGAGAAGCTTTTGTTAATTTGTTTTCCACATTTAACTTTTTCAAAAAAAAAGGAATTTTTAGAAAAATTTTCGACGTCCTGTCACGGTCGCCATGTAATGAAACTCGAAATACATTTATTCCGTTTGAAAATTATTTTCACGTTTGCTTTATTGACTTTGACCTTTTTAACTGAACAGTGGTCAGTATCTTACACAGTAAATTGTGTGCTAGCTTATGTAAAATAGTAAAGTTTCAAACCAGGTTATTACTAAAATTTCACAGACGTAAGTTATCTTAACTACAGTAATACATTAAATGTGCATTATAACTAAAGTAAATACATTTACATAATGTAGAAATATAAGAAAATGTAAACTTAGCATAAGTCAATAATAAATGAATAATAAGTAGAGTACAATGCATCGATAATGCTGCAGTACATACGCCCGTCTACAGTACATATACTGCCTACAAACTTGCAAAACAATTTAGAAATAATCCAAACACATCTTAATAACATCTTTGCTTTTCGTATTTTTTGCTTGTTACTCATAAAGTACAACACATACACCACATAAACTTCCACTTTTATTTTGGAAATAGAAAAAATCAGTCGCGCCCACGCAATATGACAGCGCACGAAAACTTAGTTATCTTCCTCTTTTTTAGGATCACGGCCATGAATATAAAAGATTCGGTCACAACCGACCATAATTTTCCAACTTGTTGCGCCTTTACTTTTAATTCCCTACTTTTACATCTCATGTTTCTAATTTGAATCTATAATGATTTTTTCATCCTTACTTCTCCAACCATATGGCAAGCCAAACAAGCGTGGGCACTAATACGCGAGCCATTTACGACATAATAAACGAGTGATACGAGCGATTGCATGTCGCGTGATTTACACAATATTGGCCTTTTCAGCCCGCACTGAAGCGCATATAATAAATAGTTTATGCTTAAATAAAGAAGAGAAAGCAAAAACGCGACAACCATTGCATCACTCGAAATTATTCGCGTCTTCAAAATGAGTCAAATTCTGAAAAAATTTGCTATATTTGACAATATCTCATGGTATTTACGGTAGAGGCGCTTTGTCAGCAGTGGGGAAAAACTTAAATCCCCCTGTGGAAAACATTTAAGAAATTAAGGAAAACCGATATATTTCATTTTATAATATCGCTATAGAACTAGACATTGATCTAAGGACCTTTTTGAACCATTTGTATAAGGCCTGTAACATGTAGTCGTATATTGTAACAAATGTTACAAATACAACGTTGTTTAAGATGAGTTTGTTAATGTCACTGGTTAAAAAAATTGATTGACATTGAAAGGATTTTGGTGGAAAAACTGCAACCAATTCCATGAGGTACGGGGAAGAAAAGGGAAGAAAAAAGAAAGGGATGGCCTTAGTGGCCTTCGGAAATTTTTAGTTATCTAGAGTGTTTGCTGAAACGGAAAATGAAAGTGAAAATATTTTTGTCGGTAAAGAGTAGAATCCAATGAGAAAGAAGGGAGGTTTTCTTTGAAAGTAATATTCATCATAACTATATATATATGCTATAAGAAGAAAATTTCTTAAGGCCATGACTAAAATTTCCAAGAAAATTATGAAAATTTGGAATACTTGTAAAAAAACGATAAATTGGAATTATGTAAAAAAGAACATCGCAAGGCAAAATATATACAGCTGTGTGGTAATTAGAACTTATGCACCTAAACAAAAAAAATTACTAAATTAGAATAAAAATTAGTGTAAGTACTTAAACAATTATTCTATAAGTCAATACATTGAAAAGTAAAAGCATTGAATATTGTATGAAAAATTAGTAAAAAAAAAAAAGAAAGAACCATAATATATCTGAGAAAATAAATGTAAAACAAAAATGAAATAAAGAGAATTTTTTTGTTGCTAGGAGGAAATTAGCTTAGGGGTCCTTCGAAGCTATAATCGGAGTCTTCCATAGATATCAATGACCGTAGGAGACCATAGGTATGGCGTGCTGAAGACTATCCCAGGGCTTAGAACATGCCCGCTCGGTAAGGTAGGTTTCGTCCGTTTGTCTGTACGTATGTGGGTAAAGTACGTAGATCTCTTTTAGATGTAATCGTCTGTAGTGTCCGCGAGACAAAATTGCGCATAAGAAAAAGTTCGACATTTGTGTATCTCGTGAATTTGTCATGGAAAAGTGTAGTTTGTCGAATTGTCGTCTGGACATCGCTGCTGAAACGAAACTAAAGCGGGCCATTTTTAACGAGATCGGTGAACAACGATGATAAGCGCGTCGCAACAAAGTGGTCCAAGATCGATACGGCTACACAAATTACGGCAAAGAGCAGATGGACTTCGCGTAAGGCAATTGTTTTTATTTGGTGGAGTTGGAATAGTGCATTAAAGACAGTTTCGGCCAGGTCACACCATTCATTCCACTTTCTATAGCCAACAAATGAGATTTGTGAGTATTATTATTATTATTAATTTAGCCAGAGAATAAATTCTATGACTAAAGTCTTAAAGCACCAGCATCTAAGGCTTTCGGTTTTGATTTGTAAGTAAACCAATAAAATTGATTGCATTCAGAGCCATTAGTTCGAATTTAGAAAAAAAAAAAATATAATCCGCCTGAGTAGCCGAAAGCGAGGAATCTCAACTAGCAAGTCAATGGTCGTGGGTTCGAATCTCAAGTGCGGTCGAGTTTTTAATAAAAGCCGAAACCATTATATGCTGGTGCTTTTAAGAGTTTAGTCTTAGAATTTATTTCTCTGGCGAAATTAATAATAATAACAATAAAGAAAATATACAAACCAAAAACAAAAAATTGAAAGTATTGAATATATATAAAGCATATTAGTAGTATATTGAGTATAATGTCCTGCAAATAAATTCCATTTCAAGAAAGTAATATCATTTCTTGGTTGGAGTACAAATATCATTTATATAATTTGTAATATATAACTTAATATATAACTTAAATAAATGCCTAGATTCTGTACTCCCCCTTTTTGTTTAAGAGTCCCTTATTTAGCCTTGTTTCATTTAAAATGTGAGATTCAAGGTTTCTAACAACAAAACGCTAAGTTGAAATAAGCGGATTTGTTAAATAGTGAAAGAAAGTTCAGAGGACCCTTAAAATTAATAAAAAGTCCAATAAACCTACGTTAAATGTACGATACTCGGGACCAATTTTAACCTGTTTTAAAATAGTAAATCGTCGTTTCTTAAGTCATACGTTCGTCGTTTCCGTTTTTGTCTACAAGACAAATTGTCTTATAGAATAAGCCCAGATGAGTACTCAAGTCCTATTAACTGGAAAACTTCAGACTTGGAATCTTTCATCGCCTCCTATATTTAAATAAACAAATTTTAAATTTTTGAAAAGATTGCATTAACTCTTAATTGGTGACAAAGAAAATCATTCATGTTCTAATAGAAGCAAAAACCAAATTATACCATACAATGCCCACAAAACAGTCCCTTACCTGCAATAATTTTCCTATTTACATGCCGCAGATTTACTCAAATTTATACTTTTTTCTTACTGCCCAGTGAAGGATATTTGTCGGTATAAATTTTTCAAAGACGAACGAGGCCTTAAAAAGACCAGAAATTTGATGCTTAAAAAAAGCCTTTTGAAAAGCTTGTTTATATAAGATAAATATCATTTGGGTCCACATTTTCGAGCTTGGAAAAATCTCAAGTGCGTGTTACGCCATGGAGCTTCTCGCATCGCATTTCGAAACTTCATCAAAAATCCATACTAATCCTTGCACAACTATACTGTTCCTTTGAATTGATTCAATCCAGAAACTGCTTAGTCAGTACTATTGATAAAGGTTGAAGTAAGGACAAATTAAATTACTAATTTTTTAAAGTAAACAAGCGCATCTCGCTGAAAACATTGTCGTAATATTTGACATGAACGTCAATGAGCTCGCTACTAGCCTATATAATTCAACTGGTGATTTTAATAAGCTATAGCGATTAAATCGGAAACTTGTTTTGATCGCAGTAATATAATCGCATACGCATGTTGATATCCGATAAAAACTTTGCTACTTTTATTGTTTTATTAAACCTTCTGATTCTAATGTAATTCTACGAACTGAAGCCATTAACCTTACCTGACACCCGAAAACATCAATTTTCTACTGAGAAACTGCATAATATTCTAAAAGCCAAATAGTTCATCATCTCGTAATAATCTAAAGCACCAAATATCTAAGAACTTTTTAGCTTTTTTTAGTTAGAAACATTACCGGTTAGGAATTTAGGCGTTTTAAAGAGTTCGACGCGAATACTTATCCGAAAGTTTTACAAAAAATGCAGGAAATCTTCTCCAATTACACATCGACAAATCGACACTTTGTTCTTACACCTATGTATGCTAAACGAATAATTTTTGTTTAGATGTGTTCTCGTTTTATAAAATGTGAAAAAACCTTCACATTACTTTAATTTGTAATATAGAAAAACTCATTTTATTAATTCACTTTCTTTTTAATGAGCTTTAGCAGCCAAACGCTTATCACGTTCTTCAGCAATACTCAATTTAACGCCCAAATCCTTAGGTAAACTAATATACGAACGTGTACTTTTGCCGATAATAAAAACATTAGACAAACGGGTAGCGAAAATATGTCCTTGTGAATCCTTAATGTGAACTATGTCAAATGAGCCAGGATGTCTTTCACGATTAACAACTGTACCGACGCGTCCCAAGTTACGGCCGCCAGTGATCATGCACAAGTTGCCTGAAAAAATAACAAAATAAATAAAAACCGTTTAACAAAAACAAACTAAAAATTATACCACCTCCACAACAGTATCGCTAAATACGAATTTATTTTATAACTATACTAAATAAACGAAGTGTACAATTTACACTCGTTTACTTGATATGCCAGAAGAGTAACATGAATTAACATACCATACTCGACGAGCAGATACCATAATTTATACTAAACATAAACTGCGTTGCATGGTGGATTTCAAAGCTTTATACTTTCAAACGGCATGAAACAAGCTGGACCCTCTGAACAAAATCTCGAGAAAATTAATAGAAGTTTCAATAGACGCAGCAGTTAGGTAGGCATGCATGCGTATTATTTCCACTATTCAAATTTACAAAGTACATATGCACAATTCTATTTTTATATAGCATAAAGCGTTCCAGATAATTCAAAATACGAAGAAACCGTATAACAATAGAATGAAGCACATATCACTGATAAAAATAGTTGTCTATGAAACTTAACCCAAGGAAAATCTTTAAATCTCTAATTAAAAATTTTCTTTTGACCCGAATAAGAAAAATCTTGACATATAGAAATTGCAGTCGGTTTTAAACCACTGTAAAAAGTTATAAATACCGGCAATTGACGGAAAATCTGACGACAAATTGAATGAAGAAAATTCCCTTATAGGCACCGAGGAGCCGAATTATTATATTGGATTGCAGTTTATTTTTGAGAGTGAAATGTGACTTACCAGAATCAAATTTAATGAAATCAATAATTTTGCCTGTAGCTATATCAACTTGAACAGTATCATTGGCCTTTATCAATGGATCAGGATAACGTATGGTGCGTCCATCATGGGTAACAATGAAAGGTACACCCTTCGCACCTAATTGTGTTTTACGAACTTTACACAGTTTGTACTGAAAGAAAAAAATGGTTTACTCATATATTAAAATTATTTCTATATTTTCACATATATGTGCACTTGGTATTGAATAATTTCATTGTGATAAACACTGTAATTGCAAGCAAAAGTTACCGCACTATTATGCAGAATGAATCCTGTAGAGCCGTGACCGTCGTTGCAAAAAAGATTTACTTTGGGCTTATTTTTAAACCATTTACATATAATTGACTCACTTTGCAATGATCTTCGATTAAGCCACACTTCAATATAACTTAATATTTCTCGGTGTTCCATTAACTATAATTGCACGTAAAAATTACCGCAATACCATTTTGTTATTATATAATGCAGTGACCGTCGTTACAGTCTTACTTTAGGCTTAGTTTTGAACCATTTGCATGTAATAAATCATTTTGCAATGATCTTCGACTAAGCCACTCTTAGATTTAAGGCAACATTTGTCGATATTTCGTTAACTGTAATTGTACGTTAAAATTACCGCAATATCATTTTAATATTATATAAAGCAGTGACCGTCGTTACAAAATTTTGTTCTAGGCTTATTTTTGAACCATTTCAACGTAGTAAATCACTTTCAAATGGTCTTCGATTAAGCCACAAGAGAAATGCAGAAGACGTAATTACACACAGATGCCTGTGAAATGACGCGGACTAAATTTTAGGAGGAAGTGACAGCAGTTAGGATTAGATTTACATAAAATTCACATGAGAATTTGCCGCGAGGTGTGTTGTTAACATAACACCGTTATATAACTTAATTTTGGTTAACTATTGAATTAAATATATATTAATCAATTTTGATTACCTTTGCCTCTTCGGGGGATATGCGATGAATTGTGAAACGACCCTTAACATCATAAATTAAACGGAAATATTCGCCAGTCTTTTCAATAGTAATAACATCTGTAACACCCAAAGCAAAACATTAACCTTCTTTCATTCTCGATATTCTCATAAACCTTACCCATAAATCCGGCAGGGTATGTAGGATCTGTACGCACTTTACCGTCAACTTTAATCAAACGCTGCATAACAATCTTCGTAACTTCGGCACCGTTTAGAGCATACTTTAGGCGATTTCTCAAGAAGATCATTAAAGGCAATGACTCCCTTAACTTATGAGGACCAGTGGATGGACGTGGGGCAAAAACTCCTCCTAATTTATCTAACATCCATGCTTTAGGTGCTGCTAGACGCTTCAAATGCTTTTTAGGACCTCGGGCCTTAAAAAACCGGAAATATTAATTTGTTTAAACAAAACATATTCATATACACATGCAAACAACAAAACTCCAATGTTTCTTTAATACATTGCCATCCTTTTCTTTTAATAACTAGTATTAATACACCTCCTGTCTTCGATGAAAAAATATTTTTAATTTTAGTCACATAACTATATGATTTTTGTAAAATCTTTGTGGTTCCAGTTCATATCTTTTATAAATTTGTATTTTAGCTAATTCTTAACTTATCCGTTTATGATTTAACGTCGATGGCAATATATTTGTACACTTCAACAAAAATCACACAAACCTACCATCTTGTACGATATGAAGAAAAGGAAAGAACGAGATCCGGATATTAATATACCATTTGACGACTGCTTAATAAGAGATGTCAAAATCAATTGTTTGATTCACAACGCCATCTTGCTGTCAAATGCATATAGTAAGCAAATAAAAACGGGGTAGTTAATAATAATAAAAAACAATACTAGAATGAAAATAAAAAAACCGTATATCTAATTTTATATGCGATTTATTAATAATTACTAATGTACATTTTACTATTAATGGATTTGATAACAACAATGTAAATGCGCAACTATTATATATTCTACAAGAAATGTTAGAAATAAGGTTTTTAAAAAATAATAAAAATTTAAATTTTCAAGAACAAAAATTGAAGATTATGACGCAGTCGTAGCTCCTGATCAGAAATGATTTCTTACGGTGCAATTTTGATAGAAGATAGAAATGGCGGCCTATAAACTACGTCAGAACATTAGTTAAAAATACATTTTTTATCTAAAAAATCAAATCTAGTCTTGACTTTTTATATAAATAAAGAAAAGATTTCTAAAATAATAATGGAAATAACATACAAAAAAAAAAATAACATAACAAAGCTCCTTATCCTCTAATGTGTGTATAAATTTGTTGTGTATATGAGAATATAATACGTTCGATAAATCGTTGTGAATTAAATTGATCACTACTGCAGCGGATACACGAATATATTCCTGCCTCAAAATAAAACTTTTTCGAATTTGAACTTGTTCATTTACCGACATGCTCATTCTGGGGCTTGCCTTCTTTGACACTGCGAATCATGTATTGTTGACTTGTTGAATATCTTTCTTACTTTATTCAAACCTTACCTATGAAAATTTTGGGATTTTCTAATTTGCAATAATAGCGATATCTAGTCTGTATGTCGTCAATGTGAAAATTGTTGCAATTGCAATATCCATTAAACATTCAGTCACAATGAGACTTCATCCCTACCATTAAAAGCCATGAAAGCTTTTTTCGATGACGGCGTTTCTTTTCTCTTCTAATATATGGTTTCATTGACGAAAATAGTAAAACGAAAAATATGAACAATAAACCTTTAACATTCATAAATTGAATCAGTATTGAGTTAGTAACTACACCATCAAACTCCGCGAAAAACTCAGCCTCTTTTTCAGCCAGCGGTTCCTTGTCTGCTGATATTTTCACCACTGGATTTAGGGCTCTAGCTTTTTTAATGGAGGCTTCAGCGCGATTTTCACCCACCGCAGAATTGGACGTGCAATTTTGCAACTAAACACACTTGAATTTATATTTGGTATTACGGCGTTCACGATTATTAATTATCATTTTTCTGAACAGACATGGATTGCCCTTTTATTTCATTTGTTTGAGAATTGCTCCTTCCAATCAACACACTTAGGTTCCCTAAATTTCCATCTCCAATCCGATATCGGCCAAATCGACTTCACGTATCGAATTGATAAACATATAACGGGAGTAAAATATATGAAGGCAACGATTTGGTTTTTATGCTGACTCATGGCATTCCGGACCACAGCTGCTTGTTGCCAATATAATAAGCACCTAAAACAACCTGATTGGAAAAATGATGAAAAACGAGACTGCGAATAGTAAATTAATTACCAATATTTGTACATAACGCAAGTAATGATATCAAATATAGATAAATACTTTCGCACAATATTTATGGAGTCCAAGGCACAAAATATAAAAAGGGATGCTTTTTTTAACTTTATTGAATATGTTTGGTTATTACAAAATATAAATTTACTTATTTTGCAATTTTTCTTCACGTCTTCTTAAACGATATTCTGTTAATTTATTTTCAATATTTTCCATTTAATTTGAAAATTTTATGATTAATTTATTTATAATATTATTATGAACTTTTTTCAAATCTATATCAGCTTTTTTATTCTTCTTAATGTTTATTTTAGAAGGTGACACTGACTCAGCAACTTTCGGACTGCTACGTTCCTTAAATTCAATATTGCATATAAAACAAAAAAAATGTATAGTGTAAATTACGCGCTTTAATTGGCTTTAAAGAGTCCGATAATAGCGATAGATATTATTTAGGTTCTTACCAACTCTGGGCGGGTTAAACAGCTCATAATTATATTTACATTGACTAAGCTTAACCAAGATAAGGTGCCTAGAGAAGCTGTTGGGGACATTAAAGCTTATTTCACCATGTAATGCAGGCGAGTCAATAGCATCATTTAGTACTTTGATTACGAAGGAAACGCCAAGAACAAACTTACGTTTTTCGAGAGACGGTAAGGACAAGAAAAGCAACCTATTTTCATAGGGGGGAAGAGAGGCAATCGGATCCCAACCCAAATTTCCAAGGTCAAACAGCAAGAATTGCTTTTGAACAGATTCAATTGAATCTACATAGCACCTATATGAAGGAGACCACACAGCAGAAGCATACTCACGCATAGGTCTAACCAAACACATGTGTAGCCTTTTAGTAATTTAAGCATCATCAAGCTCTTTGGACCACCTCTTTATAAAACCAAGCGCGGACCTAGCTTCGCTTAACGAGAGCTCAATTTGCAAGTTAAAACGTAATCTATGTTCAAATAGAACGCCTAAATCTGTGAACGAATCGACGTCTTCCAACTTATGCGAATCAACGAAATACTGAGTAATGAATGACTTTCTTCTTGAGAAAGAAAGCTTCCTACATTTATTTAGGATTAGTTTCAGAAGATTCAAAGAGCACCATGCAACCAAATTATTCAAGTTACTGTGAAGCTGACGTGATTGCGATTCTAGAGAGAAGGAAGAAAGCAGTTTCACATCATCAGCGTACATTAAGACCTGACTGGAATTAATCGCCGATAGGAGATTTATTAATGTATAAACTAAATAAAAAAAGGGCCTAAGTGGCTGCCTTGGGGTATGCCAGACGTCACGGGGAATTCATCCGAGGTAATGAAGTTAAACAAAATCCTGAATGATCTATTGTGCGGATAAGAGCTTATCCATTTCACTAAATAGAACGGGAAGCCAAAGGCTTGGAGTTTAAAGATAAGTAAGTTATGATTAACCAAATCAAACGCTTTGCTTAAACCAGTGTATATTACATCTGTGCGAGAGCCACTAGAAAAAGCCTTGAAAACATGAGAAGTAAACTCTAACAGATTGGTGACCGTAGATCTTCCCTTTCGAAAACCATGTTGGAGAGGAGAAATATACGATTTCATGGAAAAGGCTATATGCTGGGCCACAATTCGCTCGAACAGTTTTGGCAAGACACTTAACTTGGCAATGCCATATCCGGCATAAGCTCGCTATCCTTCAAAGTTTTTACCACCATGGCACTTAGCCGATAAAGGACATCGACGGAAGATACACAACACCCAAAAACTAACTGGTTAAGAACAAGGACAATTATGACACCTCTGGCATTTATTTCCAATTTTCAATACTCGAAATTACACGTTGAATGTTATAGCGTTTCACCAGAAAGGTCTTTTTAGACTAACGTAAACGCAATTTTTACGCGAATCAACTAAATAAAGGATTTCGAAAATATTAACCCTAATCCATGCATATGTTTATATAGCAAATCATACCACGGTGTTCCTCATAGGCTCACAGTCAAAAAGGAATCCCATACCTTAGACAGGAATTTATTTAAATTCGTCTATTGTATTTCACCTAGTTTTTATATGAATATATACAACTACATAGAAAGCAAACACGACGTGTTTTAAGAGCAATGACTGGGTTGGTTATCTTAGCATAAGTGCAGGTCTGTTATTAACGCAAGTAGAAGGTTTTTAAATGAATAACAAAAACACAACAATTATTAAATCAGTAAAAGAATTTTATTATCGATATACTGACTTACATTTAGAAATGTTCATAACAGATTTTTGGGTGCTAAATCATCACCATTTCAATTTAATACTCCAAAGAGAGGAGCAACATTTTCTCTTAAGAGTTGTTGAATAATTTAAAGTTATGATTGGCCATGATTTAGGAAGAGGAATCGTAAATTGACATTCTTTGGTTGATTCTTAAAGGAACCCACTTTGCTCTCATTCAATATGGTGAAATATTAGGGATCCAATCAATACTTTACTTACCGCTGTTCGTTGTTGTAACTTCTATTAATAACCACCGATTTCTTTTTATCTTTATTTCTGATTCTGTTGTTATATGTTTAAATTATACTCATTTGTGAATTTTAATATTAATTTTTCAATATTTCAAATAATTCTGATCTTTCTTTCTTTTCTTTCAAAAACACATCGTACATATATTTTCTGTTTGGTTGTTAAACTCTATTTAAAATGTATGCAATGTTAGATGCACATTTAAATGTTTCATTTAACAAACACGTAATTATTATTGTTATTCTAAATGAATTTGTGGATGAATGCAATATTTCATTATAAGGAAGTCAAAACGAAAGAAAAGTAAGAAAAACTACCAATATATTATAAACTAAAATAGAAAAATTAAAGGAAGAAAGACATCATTAAAAAATGAATTTTAATGTTATGCTATTATATATACCTATGTGAATAATTCAAGAGCAAAGTACTTATGTATGTGCGATTAAGATTTGTTTGAAGATAAAATGAATCGAATTTTATGGGTATGTTGAATCGTGTTGTGTGGTGCAAAGTGCGATTTTCACACACAAGTCTTAGCCTTAGGGCATTTTCTTTTTAAATGATAATATTGAAAATTATGAATAAATTAAAAAAAAAGAAAAAAAAAAAAAAAAAAAAAAACTTAACATGCCAAAACATGTTTTAAAACATTACTTTGAAAGATTCTGCTCGTTTCTTAAAAAATTGTGTAAAAATCTGTCAATTACATTTACTTGAATTGAATCGGAAACTAATCCAATTTTTTCATAGATTTAAGAGCACGTTCCCTTAATTGTTTTTCCAAGTCTTCATTAACACCGCCCAGCAACATGGAGGCTGTTGTGGAGACTTTACCAACAGCTTTATCATCACGTTTGTGGCTTTCCCCGCGGGTAATTCTCTCATCATCGCTACTGCTTGATGTTTCAACCGATTTCTTACTCTTTTTCTTGTGTTTCTTGTGTTTTTTGCTCTTTTTGCTGCTGTGTTTTTTATGTTTCTTATGTTTTTTCTTTTGCTTATTAGATTCATTTTCCGAATCACTTGAAGTTTCATCATCGGAATTATGTTTGCTTGACGACTTCTTAGCCTTTTTACGCTTCTTTTTCGACACGTGTTCATCTGAATCGGAGGATACATTGTGGCGTCCTTTTTTATGTCCAGAAATGGAGGCTGCAGACTGCGTACGTTTTCTGTGTGCCAATTTGGACGATAATTTCAAATTCTCTCTGCGTTCATCTTTATCTTCTGAATCACTATCAGTTGCTTGTTTTTTGAGTTCAGTACGTGTGGAGCAGGAATTGTGAGACTTTTTTGAAGCCCCAACAGATACGTTTGCCAAATCGGAATTAGTCTTAATTCGCTTAACACTAACGTTGCTATCTTTAGTTTCTGCAACGTGCTTACGTTTATCAATGGTTTCGACTGAGAGTTTATCTCGTTTGCGTTCATCTTCGATAGCCGGTAGAACAATAGTTCTAGATTCTTTATGGTTTGCTGTTTTCGATGCCATCGATCTAGAAGATTTTATCATTAATTTCTTACGAGACTTATCATCTTCCGAATCTTCACTTCCATCACTTTCACTGTCACTTGATGAACTCTTATTACTCTTACGGGTCAAAGACCTAGAATGTTTTTCAAGTTTTTGATTTGTGTTCGTCTTGTGTGAAACTTTCTTTATTTCCTCTGTTCTAATCTTAAACTTTTCACGTTCTTTTTCCATCCTTTTTTTAGGTTCCTCTTCGTTTTCATCGGAAGAATCTTCATCACTATCATCCTCACTGTCATCTGAAGTGTCTGAGGAACTTGAATCGCTATCGTTTCGTCGTTTTTTGGTTTCAGATGGCTTGTCTTGAGTTTTCTTTTGTGCAACTGCAACCACCGTCGTCTGGACTCCTAAAGCGGCTTGTTTTCGTTCGTGAGGCTTTAGGAACGGGGAAGGTGTGCGCGACAAACTGTCGCTGTAACGATTGCGACGTGTTGCACTACCAGCACTAGTCAATTTCTTGGACTTATCTTCACCTGGCGGTGGTAACGTTGTTAGTTTCGATTTGCGTGCAACTTCAGTGATTTGTTCATCTTTGCTTAAATCAATAGTTTTTACAGAAGGGCCACAATATTCCACTGAAGAGCGACCTATTCAAAAAAAATTAATTTACAAAATTCTCATCAATAACGTAAAAATTTCTCACCGATACTTTCCCTGGGTCGATGTCCTTTATCTGCTGTATTGGATTCTCGTTTATATTTTTCTTGTGAGCTGCGGCTTCGACTGCGCTCGCGCCTGGAACCACTATTTTTAACAGGGCTTCGTTTCCGATCAACGCTAATACGACGATTGACATTGTTTTTTTGCTGAATCTCCTCCTCGCGTTCATTGTCCTCCCAATTCGAGCTGACTGAAATGGAGCGCTGCTTTGGTTTCTGCATATTTCTAGTGGGTTGATCCCAACGATTGGTAGCAGTTGTCAGGTTACTACTACCACGTTCGCGCGATGCTGCACGCCAGGGCGAAGAAGGACGACGATCGCGGGAATTGTGCACACGTTCACGAGATGTACGTCTCTGATCTCGGTATTGAGGCGATAGTGCTCGTCGTTGAGGTGAAGGGAATTTGCGGAATTGGTTTTGCATTGGTGAAGAGCGGCGTTCTCGGGAATATCGACGCGGTGGAGAACTGCGACGTTCAATTCGATTACCAACAGCACTACCACTATTGTTGCCTCTCTCTCGACTATAACTACGTCGCCATTGATTAAAACGTCCTCTGCTATTATTATTGTTGTTGTTATTACCTCGATGACCCCAAAATTGATGTTGTACCGGAGAACGTCGACGATTAGCACGTCTTGGTGAACGCGATCTATTACGGGATCGAGAACGTTGGCGTGAGCGAGATCGCCTGCGAGAACGTGAACGATCTTGTCGTCCTCCTCTTCCTTCATTACGTTGTGTCGAACGTCGTCGATTTTGCGACATACCACCGCTGCGGCCTCTAGAATCAGGTCTTCTTCCTCCCCCACCTCCACCAACGCCTCCAATTTCACGTTCAACCGAACTTACCGATGAATCCCTATTGTGGCGATATTGTCGTTTCTTTTGTACGCTGTTCTTGTTGCGACGTAACTCAAAGTCGTCTTGATTTGGCTCGGGTGATAGCGAAAGACTAGTTTGGCGGGACGGGGAACGTTTAGGGTTCCGTTTGGGACTGGGAGGTACCGAAGAACGGGATCGAGATCGTGAAAATCTCTGCACTGAAGACTTTTCACGAGAGCGTGGTCGTTCGATTGGTTTTTTAATAGGTGATACTAGACTTCGACTACGCGAAAATGAACGTCTATCTCCCGGTGCTTTAGAAGCGAACGGATTTCTCGGATTTCTTGCGCTGGCGTTTCTATCCCCTTCGTGACCATTTTGAGCTGGATTCGGGCTACGCGACATTGAACGTCGACGTCTAGGCGATAAAAGTTTAAGAAGGGGGCTACTTTTACGTTTCTCAACTGACCGAGAACGAGTTCTGCGATGCCTTGAACGTGAAGAATCCCGACGTTTCTGCGGGGTGGGTGAACGCGATTTCTGTCGGCGTCCGCTTCTCTCCCTTGAACGAGAACGCCTTCTTCTACGATCCACCGACCTACGCCTTGGTGACCTAGAAACCTTACGTCTATCCTTATCACGTGGGCTGTGACGCCGACGTGCTGGTGAATTACGGTCTCGCGATGAGGCTTTTTGCATTGATCTTTCTCTTGAACGCCGATGTGGAGATCTTATTACCTTTGAGTCTTTTTCACCAATTGCCGCACGTGAACTAGAACGTGAGCGTTCCTTTTTAAAACTATCATCATTAGTAACAGTTGAAGAACTCTTATTTGCGTTGTTGTCAACATCCTTTTTATTACCTTCATCTGAAGAGGATCTGGATTTTGCTGAAAGTTGCGAACGCACTTGTTCAATGGCGCTCAAGGTGCTAGGTGGTAGCTGCTGTTCACGTTCTTTTTGAGACAATGTTTCGCGTTCTTTGGCAGCAGCGCTGGCCGCACTGCCGCCGCTAGTATTGCTACTAGTACCGCCCACACGGCGTTCACGTTCACGTGACCTTGATGGAGAACGCGAGCGCTCACGTTCATTGCGCTCCTTTATCTTCATATCTTCTTCACGTTTTAAAATCTCATCTTTTTTTTGTTGAATAAATTCCGCTGGTATACCACTCTCGCTTTCTTGCGCCGAAAGTAATAATGACCATAATTCACCCATAAACTGACGAGCATTAGGTCCATTCAAAAATCCAGTCATATTTATCTGCATTTTTTTGGGACAGGGAAACTTTTCTTCTTCCAATTGATTATAAACAAACTCAGCGACAACATCATCTTCAATGTGCAAGATATCGGTAATTTTCTTACTAATCCAAGGACGTAAAACATCGAGCTTAACTTTTGACATATCAACCCGCTTATTAAGACAATCTCCAAATTTCATTTGCTTCATTAACTTCTTCTCCTTATCACTGAAGCGAGTATCTTGTTGTTGCGTTGTGCCCTAAAAGTTATCAGACCAAAAAAAAATAAAAAGGAATTGTATAAACTATATTAAATCTCAAGTTCTAATAAATACACTTTAAAATCAATTTGCTAAACGAATATACCTTTAAATGAATTTTTTAGTTAATATGTTCATACCATAAAAATGCAAATCAATCTTTAACAAATTTAAGATTTCATTTGTTATACCGGCAGAGTATTGTAATAAATTCCTGATAACATTAAGTATTTACTTACTGTGAACATCATTTTGCCACCCTTAAGTATTTAGATGAACAGAAACACTGATTATATATAAATTAAACAGCTCCAGTGCAAACAAAACAAAATTAGGAAAGCAAAACTTGAATTATTCTATATTCTCTTCATCTTAATATCAATGCAATCTAATAAATTGTCATTATCAAATAATCACGCATAATTTTCTGTACGCGTAGCAAATTCTATAGGAAAAAAAAAACCGGGTAAACCTCGGCGGCGTGGTATGGAGAAAACGAAAAAAGAATTTCTTAACGACAAAGCATTTATAAGAATAAGAACAAGAGAAAAAAAAAATTAAGATGAAGATATCGAATTTTTCTTGAAATAAATTTTACGCAGTGAAAAATTAATTTTTCGAGCAAATACTGTGCTCAATTTGTAAGTAAAACATTCTAATTGTTTGCTTGAAATATTTTTTAATTATTTACACTTTAAATACGGTATTTATTCAAGAGAAAAAATTTTTCACGCTTTCAATGTCTAAAATGGAGACGCAACATCACGAAGAAAACTTGACGAATATTTCGTTGAAAAAAGCTATGACTGGCAACTCGATAATGTATGTAGTAGTGGCCATTAGCCCCCTATGTAGTTGCCACTAGTCCCATATGTAGTTGTTGTTGCAGTTTCTAATTTTTGTCTGCACGTGCTATTATTTATGTATCTGTACAAATACACACTGGAAATTTGAAAAAACATTATGGGTAAGAAACATTTGAACGGGGAAAACTCAGATCTTTTTTTAAGCATGGAGTTGTTGTTGACAAGCTGAATATTCACAAAGAAAAAGAAAACAGGTACAAGTTTATTTAAAATTAATAAATTTTAAAACTTAGAAAAAACACTCAAACTCAACACGCGCCCTTCTCGTTTTGTGTTTAAAGATAATATATAATATAAAGTAGGCGTGGCCTATAACTAAAGTCTGGAAGAGTCTGCGGTTAAATAAAATATCGAAACAACGTCAATAAGATTTGTCAGCTTCAATAAATTTTTAATACTAGTGTACTGTCAGCGAGTACTGAGAATTTTTAGTCTTTTAACAAAAAAACACAGGTCAAAAGATATCAATCGGATGTGTATACCATTAAACGGAAAATTTCTAGAATCTGGTCTGTTAGAATTGTTACAATTCCAATATGTTCTTTCGTTATTTATTTACTTACAGGACATCTGCTGTTCATTTTAGATAATATATTCTCCAACTATATTATTTATTAGGCAAAAATAAACTAAAACATATTAGCTAGTGCATCTTGGAATATGTATGGCGTTAACTAGGTTTCATTTCTGAGATTCGAGTTTTTTTGCATTATGTATGCACATAAAGTGCGAACATGCTTTCTCAATTTTTTCAAACAGACGTAAGTTAAACAGCCCACGGTTTGCGTTAGCTTAGTTATTTAGAGTTGCATTATAGGAAAAAGCAGCTGAAAATTGAAAATATAACCACTTCCAAACAAAAGTGTTTGGCTACAAAAGACTGAACCAAAACAAAATATTTTAAATATATGAAAAGTAAGCAAATTTCTTTTTTCTTCACTTCTTACTCCAATTTTGTAATTAATACTGTTAATTCAATGAGTCGAATCAATTGTGCATAATCAATAATTCCATACGTAAAAGTGCTAAGGATCAACAAGTAACTTGTTTTATCGCCAACGTACAAAACAGCTTTGAACATACAGTAAAAGCTCCTTATTCGCGGGGGATACGTTCCATAAAAATGCCGCGAATACGGAATGGTAATTTATATGGGATTATAGGGGATACGTTCCTAGGTCACAAAATAAAAAAAATCAAATATATAAAAAAATCAATTTAATTGAAAGCGAATATGCATTTAGTTTTTCCCTCTTTAGGCAATTTGTTATTTGGGGAAATTAATTGGCTGAAATGAACTACATTTGGGATTTTCCCAACAATACTTTATTCATCGAGTAATAAGGTTCCTTTCATTTTGTTTGTTTACATTCTCAAAAACCGCGAATAAAGAAATTTATAGCCGCGAATATGGGAATTGGTCGCATTTTTTTCATCCGCGAATACTGAAACCGCGAATAAGGAGATTTTACTGTACTGTCTTGTTTGCCTTATGATAAATAATTATATAGTCTTGAGGAAATGAAAAAAATATAATAGAATTATTTGTAACTTTGTGTAGGCTAGGCCGAATATGTCTATGTTTGTGCGTAAATTGTGGAATGTTTCATAAGTAAATGTGGAAATTTCAACTTTCTAACTTTAATAATTTCCGAGTAACGAGTAAACGCCCACAATTTTTTTTTTTGGAAATACAGAATTGCGTTCAGTTTATGTTTCACTGCGAGCTTGGAGTCATTGGTTCATTTTCAATACCAACCTGCGTGGAAAAACTTCTAAGATTTCTACCAAATCTGAAGCCTATATCTTCATTCTCCAAGAAGAAAATGTCAATCACAAACACTACACAGACACACAGACGGATAGACATGGCTTAATCAATTCAGAATTTTACGCTGATCAAGAATATATATACTTTATAGGATCGCTGAAGTTTCCTTTTGAGTGTTACATACATTATGGAAAAAACAAAGTAAATATATCACTATATACTTTAGAGGTGGGTATAAAAAAGGTAAGTAAAATGTTTTTATTAGAGACTCAAGTAATGTTGAATATATACTCATCATACGGAATGGTTTCTATGCTCCTATTATGTTATTTGGCTGTGGAAAAACGTTGCGATCAGCGGAAATGGAATCATCTAAGACGGAAAAGTGCTCTGTCCTAAATAAAAGATTTCGTTCATTAGCCAACAACTTACATTCAAGTATATTTATTCTTACATATAAATTTTTGCAAAAGTTTTGCGTGTCCAGAGACTTTTGAAAACATTTTAACAAAAATTAACGTGAGGAACTTCTTGTGCTTTTCATGTTCCGTCACGTTGGTGTTCAACTAACGATGATTGAAATATTCCTGATATTAATTGAAATGATTGAATGCGTAGACGGGATTCGTATTTATTTTCGCCCGCAAGAAATGAGGAACGTTTCATAAAACGAAAAGGCAAGCATGGTCTGAATGGAATGGTAATGAGTTAGTCTACATACATGTAAGTTTTTACGTATGCACATATAAATATTTTATTCGTAAAGCTTGCAACCATATGAAAATTATCGCAGTACACTTTTGATATCGTGGATCAAAGCAACTTATTTTAACGACGTCGTCGACGTTTCGCTAGAGTCCATCCAATTAAAACGAATAAATGAGGAAATAACAACTGTCAAATCTTGGGCACTTTGAATACCAGCAATGTAAAGAATATTTATACTTTAAAGTGTTAATATATTTTATAAAATTAAAAACAAAAATATTAAAAATCCAAGTTCGAGCTTACAATTTAAAGTTTTCTTCGGAAATGAATATATGAATTGTGCGAAAACGTGCACAGCATTTTGCTTTTATTTTCATCTGTAAGATTTTGTTATAGGTTGTATTATTATTGTAAACCAACAAATCTTAAATTTATTTTCCAATTATTTTCTCGAAATAAATTTCGAATGACGAAAGCTATACATAACTCACAGCAAAATGGGTTTCAAGGTACGCCATCGAAATAAGAGCCAGCAAAAACATTATATATATAATATCCACTCATGGCTTTCGAAAAGGAAGATCTATGGTCACCAATCTGTTAGAGTTTACTTGTCATTTTTGCAAGGCTTTTTCTAGTGGCTCTCGCACTGATGTCATATACAAATGATTTTAGCAAAGCGTTTGACTTGGTTAACCATAAACTACTTACCTTTAAACTCCAAGCCTCCGCCTTCCCGTTCTATTTAGTGAAATGGATAAGCTCTTATCCGCAAAATATTGTATACTAGTTTTTAAAATAATTAGTATAAGATTTTCTCTTAATATGCACTGAATTCGACTGTAATTTTTTTTAGTTGAATTCTATGTATAAAATGTATAAATGGGTAAAATAAAATAAAAAAATAAGATAGGACATTTCGCTAGCAACATTTGCCAAGCAAAATTATTAGATTTACCAGAAGACATACGATAAAAACGAAGGATATTAAAAGCCATAAGACAGAATAAAGAAATGAAATGAGAACATTTACTGAAATTTGTACGACAAATATGCGTAAACCTACATTATGAACATATGCATTCTATATTATAATGTTTTGAATAGATCTGTGCGTGAGTCTATTCTCGCTAAAGCAAAAATATTTGTGAAATACTGTTTGCTTAAGCAATTATATATAAGTGCATAAGCTAAATTTTTCAACCTTTAATTTTTCTACGCTTGGCTATTTTTATTTTTGGTATATTTATATTTTTATAAATAAATTTGGCTTTTTTGCAGATAATTATCAGTATTTTTGGACATATTTATATATTTATTGCCAACAAATTTTTATTGTAATTATTGTTACTGATTTCTTGTATACGTATATTTCTTATGATTGTTATTGAAACCAAAATATTATTATAATTATTACCATTTTCTACATTTTCAACAATATTCAATTTTGCCAAAATGGCATTTAAACAAACATAAGGTGAGCATGATTCACTGCGGAGTCAAAGCCAGCACTACAACTAAATTCGATCTTCAACCACAGTCCTATACCAGCCCCACCACAGCGGTGATATATATATTCTTATGGTGGAAACTGTTACGTATGGTTCATGTGAATTATTGTTCTACTTAATTCAAATGGTTTTGTTCAATGTGCAATTTTTTAACGCATGTATGTGCATATTTAAAAATTTCCATGGAAAAATACCACCCGATGTCTGATCTGTAACGTCATCTCTTCTCAACACAATTTCATCGAGTTGGAAATTTACAGATCAAGATTTTTGTAGCAGTTCGCAAAAGCATTTATACCATTATAGATTTTTTGCGTTATGAATTTAAGCGCTTAGGGCATCCTAAAAAAACGAAAAGAGCTTTGCCTGGTTTGTGATGGACGACAACCGCAAAAAGTATCGCCTTAGTTGTTTAGATAGTTTAAGAACGTAAAATGTTTTTCTGACAGGTTGGTAGTCGACGATTGAATCAGGAAAGGACAAAAAAGGAGAAAAAGTGCAGAAAATTTGGCATAATAATATGTTTGTAATACTTTTTCTTTTATACTTTTTTTATCATTATTTACAAATTGTTCCTTAAGTATTTTGTTATGTTCTTTTTTATATATTTTATTGTATTAGTCATTACATTAATTTTTTTTTATATTAGTTATTTTTAGTTGTATTAATGTTATACTAATTTTAGTATTGAGTTAGTATAGCAGGCCTGAACTATTTTCGGGAATGCAGGCATTTAAAATAAAAGCTGTCGCACCTGAGACTAGGAAAACTAGTATTAATTTTTTGTTAGTAAATAGATAGAAATGGTTGAAATTAGAGAAAATAATTATAATAAAAATTTTTAAGAATAAACAGATAGATATATAGAAAAAAAATAGTAATTATTCAGAAAAAAGCCAAATGTATATATAAAAAAATGTTCACATTAGAACATCAAAAATAAAAACGGCCAATCACAGAAATATCAAAAGTTGACAATTCTGTTACGTATGCTGACGCATATAATCGCTTAAGCAAACGTATATAAGCGTTTCTGCTCGCTCGTATATAATCTCTAGCCAAACGTACGCACAACCGCACATTTCTGCTTTAGCGAAAAACACTCACGCACAAATCTATTCAAAATGTTATAATATAGAGTGCACATGTTCATAACGTAAGTTTACGCATATTTGTCGTATGAATATCAGTAAATGTTCTCATTTCAGTTCTTTTGTCTCTCTCTTACGGTCTTTAATATCGTTTGTTTTCATCGGATGCCGTCTAATAAATCTAATAATCTTGCTGAGCAAATGTTGCTAGCGAAATGTCCTATCTTATATATATAATGTTTTTGTTTACCCTCAGTAATTTATTGAATAATATATACATGCTTTACTTTATTATTTCCTTGTTTATATACATACGCTGTATTCATCCTATATGAATATATTTATTGCGTTGTTTATTTCTTATGCTTATGAACATACGATCATGCAAGTTAATAAGACGATGTTTAGTATTTGAGTAGTTGACTGCAACTGAATTCATTTTTAATTATTTCTTAAAAAATTTAATGAGTTAATTTACATTACAAATTTTTTTGTGCTTATTAATTATTGTGTGTGAATATATTTGACATTTGAGAATACAAGGCAGGTAAGAGTCAAATTAACTAAACAAATCGATTCGATGGAGTCTAACTTGCACCTCTAAATTCTGCTATCACACATGTGTAAGTCTTCTATGGACATGTATTATCTTCTCTTATATTACACGCTAGTATAAATACAACCCTTGTACATATCACCTTATATTGTTAAACCCTTTTTTTTTATATACGTACGTTCTCATAAATGTGAATAAGCATAACACTAACATTAGCCATGAGCATAGCTTAATGGATAAATGTAACTCTCATTGAAAAGTAGCTACTCCTATTACATACACACTGATCTTGCTAAAACAAGTTTTTCACTTACACACAACACGCATCTCACACATTCACTGTAAATACTCATAAGCAATAGGTATTGCAATGCAATGGTGACAGTGGTAGCAGCTATAACAGCGCGATGGACAACACAGCCTTTCGGTTGTATTGCCGCAATCAAGGAGATAAATTCGTAATTAATAATACAAATCTTCTTTGTGAACACTTGTTCCTACGGATTGGTGATGGCTGGCACAGCTGAGCCGCTGTCTCTGAATAACTCTCTCTCTTTCTTTAGAAAGAGTACATGATCTGGTTGCGGATCTGGTTGCGGACGTGCAAACATAAAAATCAGTCAGCAAAAAAAGAACATTTAAAGTGAAAAACGTGGTACATTTAAAAATATGCAGATATGAAATATTCTCAATTGTTACCGGATTCAGAGTCACCATATTCAAACTCTGGCATCTCTTGGCATCAAATTCATTAATGCTTTTTTTATGATTTTCTCCATTTATTATTATTCTCAGACACTTGTTGCAGTACATTGCTTTATATAAATTTGGCGACTTATGAGAGTAATTAAATGAGCGAGTCTGCTGCATACAATTGCTTCATATAAATTACTTGTATTGTCTGTATTTCTCTCTCTCTCTCTCTCTCTCTCTCTCTCTCCCTCTCTCTTCATCGAGTCGGCTACGGTAACATAGAGTGCTTGTTGCAGAAAGTTGTTAGAAAATAAAACGTGTTAGCTTTATTGGCATTCTATTCTAGATGTAGCCGGAATGCAAACTAATTAATTGAGGTATTTTCACAGTGCAGAAAAAACAAAGAAGTTTCTTCTGACATTGTTTCCACGTTTATCAAGTTTAATTATCTGAGCCGTTGGGATAAAGTGATCGGCGATGAAGCAGTCGTTTACATTTTCCATTTCCCAAAATTGTTTCACCGTCTCGATATTAGAAAAAAAAAAATTCGTAGCCGTTGTAACTGCTGCTGCACATTAAAATCTATCATTAATAATGCGAAAAGTATTCAAATGTTTAGTTATATTTTTATTTGTGCGCTTTTCAATTCAATTTTCTCTTTCAAGGAATGAAGACGCTTTGTATTAAAAACTTGCGCTATCACCCTTAGACGTTTTCAAATATGCTGACCTGCTCTTCAAAACTAGAATACATAGAATTGGAAGTAATTATCAAGTTCCTTCAATAGTTGCCGTATTGCCGCGATTGTATAAATTATATAACTGGCTTTGCGTTTCTAGCCTCCATTTTATCCATAACACAATAAACTACACCAGGTGCGCGCGCGAGATGTACATATATACCTTCCTGTGTGAGTTTGGAAGAATGTAAAAAAATATGCATTTAATAAATATTTCCCCAGACGTTTTAAGATTGACTTGAGAGGCTATAAAGATCCCTAAATTTTTGGATAACCACGAGTGAAAATAAATTCATCACGTCGTTTTTTTTTTTTAGAAAATAAACGTTTTTATTAATTAAAATTAATTTATCTAATTTCTTTTATTGAACAAGTAAATCATCGGTTGTTGATGTGTTGACTTGCAGAAAAGCAGTTGAAGAATTTGTGTAATTTTTAATAACAAATAATAAAGCCTTCTATAATATAGTAATTAATAAGCCTTATTGTGAAATTTTTATACTCGCTTTTAAAAACGTTTGCTGAGGACTAGCACAAAAGTCCAAGTTAAAACTTAAACCATGGATCTTGTAATGACGCTGATAGAGAAAACAGGTGCCAAAGGGTATGCTTTTACTAGTTAGTTGTCTATTAGTATGATATGCATGATATGATTTCTTATTTTCATGCTTACTTGGCAATGTAGTGTAACTTTTACTGAATAATGAGTGTATGGGGTTAGTTAGGCTAAATGCAACTTTGATCATTTTTATACCCATCACCGAAGGATGAACGGTCGAATCGATTTAAGCATATCTGTATGACCGTCTGCGTATACTCTGCCGCTGATTTTTTTTTATTTTAAACATAAAAGTTTCAGTCGTATAAATATGTGTGCGCTGTAGGCGCGTTCTTAAACAAGTTGAAGCTACTTCCAAATTCTTTTGCAAATTCGTAGGCGATATTTTTATTTTCGCTGACGGGAGAATGTTTACCACAAATTCCACACAGTCGCGCAGACAGACAGATGGGCAGACGCATATGTTTCAGTACATTTGAAATGTTAAAATGGCCAAAAATTTATAGACTTTATGACGTTTTTGAAGCTGTAATGGTATTGAAAAAAAGATGAAATTTTGATACACTATAAGATTTGATAGGCGAGGCCAATTTTTTCCATTTTTGTACAGATACTACAATATTGTCCATAAAATATACGTTCACATTGTTATACATTTGCCTGGTATAGTTTACAAGTAGTGAGCAAAATCAATTTGTTATTCTTTTTGAAACGCAGTGCTCCCAGTTTACGTGGTAATGTAGATGTGCCCTTCAACCTATTTGGCCCTTTTCAAATACACATGCAAGACTTTCCAATGTTTTTGCTAAATTTGATGTCCACAGCTTCATTTTTGGGGCCAGAAGAACGTGTACAACAGCGATATCAAAGATGGACAAACGGACATGCGTAAAGAGTTTCCTAATTTGATGGCGATCAAGAATATGTATTCTTTGTGGGATCTCTGAAGTTACATCCGTGTATTGCATACGTTGTGGCACAATGAATATACCCCTCGTTCGTTGGTGATGGGTAAAAAAGTATATGGAATGTTGAAAGACTGGCAAAAGTGCTTACCATATTCGTTCAAGTATAAAGCATGTGAGAATTTCCACAGTTTTAAAATTGCTATCGATGGGTAAATATTTATTAAGCAAAATAAAAGTCTAAAATTTATTGATTAAACGTTGTATTTGCTTTATATAGCAGAAAGATCGAATACTTTCTTAATGGCATTAAATTTCCTCGATTCAACAAATTTGCCAAACTCTTTGAAATATGTTGAATTTTATATGAACACTTTATTTTATAAGTATAATTCCAAAAATAAGTTATTGTTTATATTGTATCTTTGTTTTCATTAATAAATGCAACACATGTCTTCGTAATTTCTCTCTTTCAACCGAGATTTATAATAATGAATTTTTTTATTTTTACGATTAACATTTTATAGAGTAAAAATTTGTTTTTTGTTTTATATAAAGCCTTTTGATATTGTATCAATTTGCTTTTGGAAATTCCAGAATTTCCATAAAAAAATCTAAAACTAGAATAAAATTTTTACAATACACATGAGCTGCGGCTTGAGTCAGTTCTTTTTGTTTTTTTTATTGTGCTTAACTAAACTAAACGGGTATCATATTAGGTTCTTGAGCAGCACCTGTAGAATATTTCGGCTTACAAACGCACCCGCTTTCGACTAATACATAATCCTGGCCCGTTAGCGTTACAGGCCCCAGAGGGATGACAAGGAATAGGTACGGCACATAAGTTTGCGTGCATTCGCCGCGAACAACATCACATTCCGAAGACCTTAACAAATTTACATAATTATTAAAAAAAATTGCAAAGAAAGGGAAAAGATTTCTAATGTGTACATGTAATAACTCAACTCTTTTTTTACACGGTCTTCTTTTATTCTCCGATTTTGAATAATAAGAACAAATACACCTTTTTATATGAATTTTTTGTTCTAGCACGAATCCTAACAAACATTGTTTTTTTAAATTTTTTTTGACAATATCTTACAGAAATTTTGGTACATACATATCCAGCAACAAATTACAGTTCGGAGAATATCTATGGTCACCTTGTTCTTTACCTGGTTGCACTTGAACTTGTGCACAGCATTTCATCATTACTTAATTGATTGTTTTGTTTAATACGTACGTAATAGGGATTCTGTTATTTATTCAAGATGCTTTTTTGCACACTTTTTCGCGAAAATATTTCGAGCTTATTCATCTTACATGATTTTTAAAAATTATGAGACATATTCCTAAATTTATCATATTTCGCATATAATTTTTTATACGATTTTTTTGCACAGTTTTCTAAGGAGCGTATATACCGTATATAGAAAAAAGAGTTAGGCGTATATGTGTTTCTGCACTTACTCGCACACTTCGAAAACCACTTGCTGCAGCAGATCTGGAAACTTTTGCACAATTGTTACCGGTTGCCCAGACGTTAAACTTACTCCGTACATGGGAGCTGTGGTGTTATAACGTGTAGAGCACAAACGAGCTGGCGTGCTCTTGCATTGAGTACCTTGCGAATTCTTCAAGGATCGTCCTAAAACATGTCATAAGTTTAAGTTTAGGCAAAGAAAAAAAAATTAGATCATTTTAAATGCAATTTAATTCATTACAATACTGTCGCGAGCATTGATTAGATTTATGCTTAAATTCCTAATGAAAATTGAAAATATTTAGAAAAACAATTTCACTCATTGTTTTATTTCGTTCAATGAATTTTTGCCGTTTCTCCACAAGCTTTATTGTCACTCAAAGGATTGAGCACAAACTGAATGCATCAGAACATTTCACGTAAACATTTGTTGTCGATAGCCGTTTGCAATTCTGAATCGATTTAAGCATGTCTGTTTGTTCGTTAATATAATGTATACTGTAAAATTTCGCAATCCATTTCTGACACAGGATGTATTACGTTATAAAAATTTGCAATATGCTTCTCTCTTTCGAAAAGTAAAATAAGACGAATGGTATCTAAAAAACAGATACTTTCGCGTCGTAATAAAAATACATCAAGAGTTTCATCGAATACCCTTTTCACATATTTCATATATTTGGCACATTTAAGAGCGAAGAAACGGCTATAAACGGTGTATGATAAAATTTCATTTTGGAATCCCACATAATTCCAACATTTCACACGAAATTTAGCGTACATACGTACCGACACGATAGCTATTAATGACTTCATTATTTGCCTCACCATATGCACGCAATAGTGCATTTTTTGTAATGCTGGGATCCAGTGTGTTTGGAAATTTGCTTTGACGACCACGTCGCGCATTGCCGTTCCAATTAGAAAATGTACGCGCTATAGCCGAACTATACAAAAAAAGAAAAGGAACATATTTGAATTATCCAATTTTATTTTGCAATTTATGCAAGTACCTTGGGTAAGGTATATTATTTGGACCCAAGCAATCGTTTGAATCCGTTAATGCATCACCTGATAAATATTTCAATCCTTGACCTCCATTACATCTATTTAACTTGTCTAATTGCGTTTCATTGTTAAAACTGGGCCACAGCGAAGCGTATGTAATGTGCATATTTATATAAATAAAGTAAAAAACTGCTAATATCTGCGAGGAAAAAGATTAATATTACAAATGACATCAAAAACATGCCAGATAAATTTTAAATCGTTTTACGCAAAATAATTTGTATTAATCTCAGATTGACATCTGAGCGAAATTCTTGATAGTCCCACTATCAAATAATTGCTTAAATTAGTAAACCATATGCATTCCTGATCTATAGACATTTCGCTTTTCGATATTTTTAAAAAGCGTAACAAAATAGTATACTTATTATAACCGAGAATTAAAAGTATTTAAGCAAAAGAAGAAGAAGAAATAATTTTTAAATTAAGCTCACTATTTTTATTTCATAAGTAATTGACTTTGAGCATTTGGACTGCTTCGGAAGTGACGATTCGTCGTTTCGGCGCAATTCAGAATGATATTTGTAGATCTAATCTTAGTCCATAAAAAATTTGTCAAATTCAATGTTTTCCATTTGTGATGTCTATACGACTTTACTAATAGTTGTAATACTTTTTCAGTAAAACTCAACTGTTTGTAATCCTAGCCAAACGATCAAATATAATTATTTATATGTTGTTTTCATTAGATGCCTGAAATGAAGATCAGCTGTCATGTTTGAATGCACACTTTATACACAACGTGCCCATTTATCAAGTCTAGCTTAGGTGGGTTAAGACTTTTTTCTCATATAAATTTACATTTTAATCATTGTAAATATCTAGTACTTCGACAAAATTCTCCTGGAGTCTTTGTCTGTGATTTTCAATGTTTCCTATGCTAAGAAAACATCTTGTCTTTCTTCTTTGTGTTCATATGAAAGGTGAAATTTGTTGCATTTTGTTGGGATTCTTTTACCCGGCTACAGCTACCACATTGCGAATTTTTCGATTTCTCGGTCATAGTATACAATATTCTCAATTTGGGCAGCTATTTCCATACGCAATAAATATTTGGAAAGGCTTACTTATCTGTACGTTATATTGAATGTAGGTTCAAAATTTGTTGGATCATATCTCGTTGTAAGGTAAGTTTCGCTTTCTATATATTTTAAAAAAGAACACAATCAAAAAACAAAAGCAAAACAATCAAGAACACTATAGTCGGACAAGGCTGATAGTTAGATATTTTACACCACTTCCTCCAATATAGAAATTCACCAATTTTCTTAATAATACACGTAAAATTATACATTATTTTCATGGAAAGCCAAACTTTTCATGCAACCCGCACATTCGAGGTCGACCACAACATCATAAGGCGTAATATTAATATAATATAATAATTTCCTTTCAGTTTCCATCATAAAAAATTCGAAATTCGACTTTCTCTCCCTATAAGGGCTTGCTTTTCACGATAAACTCTATATATGTTGGGACACTACATATGTAGACCTGTGCGGTCCAAATTTTGTATCGTCAACTTTTTTGGTCAATTGCTACTATGAACCAATTTCCATAACAAAATATCAAAAATTAAAGCTTGTTTTGAAGGGCGCTTATTATTCATGAGAAATCTTATGGAGTGGACTAAGAAATAGACCCATTTGGTTCAAATTTGGTCCATTTAATTTTCATAAATTTAGTTGTGATGACTTAAAACATTAACAACTCGGCATTTTGGGTACTTGAATTTACATTTCCTAAGAATCCTTAAATGCGGTGATACCCAGATATTCAGTTTACGTGGTAAGGTTTGTTAATTTACTATTGTGATCCATTTTCATCATTAAATATTGACAATTCGATCCTCTTACCATATAAAGATCCAGTTTTCTTAGAACCAGTTATATAAAAGGGGGTCCAAAAATTACCCAAAGTTTTCGCATAAATTTAGAATTTAGATTTTCCCATATAATGGTTTTTTAAAATAAGGCGTTATATGAGAAGCGAACGGAAAAGTGACCGATCCGAACCATTTCTAATACTGTTCCACTTTGCATCAAAACATGTTATTGTACCAAATTTTATCAAAATGTTTCAAAAATTGCGGACTATAGCTGAAATACTAACGTACATGGGCGGATCAAAGATGGACAGACGTACAGAGGGACAGGCAAGTTTAAGTCGATGCGCTAAAAAGTGAGTCTAAGCCTTTTTGAATATTACATACTTTAGCACAAACTGAACATACCCTGTAAAACAAGTGATTTAGTATATAAAAAACACTTCAACAAGACTTGAATTTAATTAACAGAAAATGTTGTACGAGGAACAGGTTTATAAGAAGAAGCAGAATGCTATGTAAAAATAAATATTGAAAAGCTAATTGAGTGAAAAATAATAAACGAGCAGAAAAGAAAAATAGTTAATTTCGCAAAACGAAATGAAATTGTGAAACGACAGGCAGAGGACGACATAAACAATATTTTTTTCCTTTAGTAATGAAACAGTCATTAAAGAATTGAATAACAGAATTTCACTTTCCAATTTCTCACTGTTATGGTTTTTTATTTCTTTATTTTTTACGTCCTAGACATCGTACAAATACGCCAAAGCTATATTCATCGCATTGAGTCCCCTTTAGGTTAAGCAAATATAAAGAAAAAACATTGCAATTCACCGTTAATCGTAACTGTATTTTGTTAGGATTACATTTTCATTTCATTTATGATAGATAAATATTTTTTCAAATACTATTAAGTCCATATACATATAACACTATTTGCATTATTTCAATAATATATAAATATATTAAATTTCGAATTTCTGTAAAACTGTACTCATCTGTTGTTTTGACCAACATTTTCAACCTTAGTATCTTTGATTAATTCACAAAAATATGTAAGTGATGGAAGGTTTCGCTTTTCTTTGATTCTAACAAGTAACTTAGCAGTGTTCCAACAGTGTATTCACGGCAAAGTTTTCCCGAATAAATGGAAATCGCAGAAGTTAGTTCCTATGTCCAAGGGCAATAAGCCACCGACTGAATCATCGTCATATCAGCCTATTTGCCTGCTGAATACAATGGGCAAGCTTCTGGAAAGGATTGTTTATGAGTGCCTGTTGAGGTTGGTCGAACGCAGCGGCGCTGTCTTATATAACCAACACAGATTCAGGCAAGCACGGTCAACAATAGATGGCATAAAGCGTGTGGTGGGATTTGAAGCAGATGCCATTGCGGAAGAGCGGTGGAAGGGCGGCGAGAAAATTTATTGCGCCGTGGTCCCGTTGGACGTTAAAGACGCTTTTAACTCGGTAGATTGTAAAAGTATTCGCATTGCGTTGATAAGAGCACAAGTGCTGCAGTACTTATTCAACCTAGTGGCAAGTTACGTCTCCGAACTTACGCTGGTATATGAAAGCAATGACGGTACGGAAGTGCACAAATTAATAAGGGGCACCCCGGTGGAACCAGTCCGTCCATATGTGTGAACCATAATGTGTTACGATATTCTGGGGTTGCAGCTCCCTCTGGTTGCAATGATTATCGGCTTCGCGGATAATACAGCTATTACAGTTACTGCAAAGCTCGTGCGAGGGGTGAAGGAAAGAGTGGCTGAGGCAGTCATGTGGGTAAATGCGTGGCTGAGCAAAGCGGGCTTAAATTGGAGGAATTCAATACTCAAGCGGTGCAGCCTAAAAGAGGTGGAAGTGTGTAAAATACAAGTCGGTCAACACATCATCAATTCGTCCCCCATGATAAAATACCTGGGGGTCATGATAGATTATGGATTCAACTTTAAACATCGCACAGGGAGGAAGCTGCGAAAGGCAGTTGGTCGTCCGCTTTTATACCAAACGTAAAATAATGGATCGATAGAACGCGTGGAGAGATGAGTTACTATCTCACACAATACCTGACTGCCCACGAGTGGTTTCGTTAGTATCTGCAACTGTTAGTACGACAACTGACCGTTATGTCCGAGCTGCGGGGATGTAAAAGAGGACGCTCAGCACGTAATATTTCACTGTGTAGCGTTTGACCGGTGACCCGAGCAATATAGTCACCGGTACCGACTATATGGAAGTGTGGGCTGTTGTAGATGAATTTATATCTAAGATGCTCCGAAAATTGCGACGCTTGGAATGGGGCCGCGTGGAGAGAAAAGGCACTGAAAACCAATAAGGGAATTCGCTAAGGTCCCATCAAAAGATGCGGAATAACAGCAACCAGACTGCGCGAAACAATAGCTTACGGTACTCCCGCAGAGGAGAGTGGTAAGCAAAGTGTTTGCAGGGGATAGCTTTAGCGTGTAGACGCAATGGGTCGCGAGCCGCTACGCTAAATAGATCTACCAAAATCAACAGCGAGAATCGCTGTTACCGGTGGAACGGAGTAATACATTCACTTAAGACTGCTTGAAAGCTAGAAGGAAAGTACAGCGGTACAGAGGCAGATCAGAGTTCGAAAGCAAGTTAACACTCTATAGAAATTTGTGGCGTGATTTGCAGAAATCGATCAGAACCAGTAAAAAGACGAGCTTTGATTGTATATATCGAATATTGATCCATTGGGAACCACGTACAACGTCGTCCTGAAAAAAATGAAACAACAGAAAACGTCACAAGTAAACTGTCCGTTCATGCTCCACGAAATAGTAGCAACACTTTTTCCGCAGAGATTTTCGTATGTAGTGTTAGGAAAATGAATCACTTTAAGCAGTTACTGCAGCAGAGTTACTAAGCGCTTGCAAAGTTTGTACCTATTCCGAAGAGTAATAAACCGTCGAATGAACCACCATATCAGCCCATCCGCCTGATAGACACAATGAGCAAATAATTGGAAAAGGACGTATACGAACGCCCGCTGTTGACGGCCTAGGAAAGCCGTGCTCTCTCGAATGACCAATATAGATTCATAAGAGCGGGGTTGTAACCCACGATATTTGCAATAATTCTCTTTGTCTGTCGAACAATCGAATTACTGATTTCATTATTTTTAGGGTTACTCTTAAGTGCCACTTGAAGACGATCGGAGGTTATAGAGAGGGGCGCAGATGTCGTTACTGAGGTAGGTAGCTTCGAAATTATGGTGGGAGGGTTTGAAATTGTGGTCCTACGCACGCTCCACTAATAATGATTACAAACCAATTTTTT